TTGCAATAAGACCTATGCACTCTTATTACTTACACTTCTAGATATAAAACCTAATACTCTGTTTGCCTTATATCAAACATTAACGCACTGCTTTCTAGGCCGTAGGTCCGGGCTTACAAGTACCCCTAAGTCTCTTTCACAAGTCGACTTCTCTAGGTTGATTTTGTTAAGGCTGTATACATTGTCAGTATTTGTTCTTCCAATATTAAGTACGCTGCACTTGCTGGTGTTGAATTTTATTTGCCATTTTCTGACCACTCCTGCAGTTTATTCAAATCCTCCTGTAGTGCATTTGCATCCTGCCCTGAATTAATCTGCAGCCCTATTTTGGTGTCATCCGCAAACTTGCTTATGTCACTGCTGATCCTAGTATCTAGATCGTTTATGTAGATTATGAAGAAGAGTGGGCCCAGAACTGACCCCTGGGGAACCCCACTGGTTACACAACCCCACTGGTTACACAACCCCACTCAGATTTAATACCATCTACACAGACCCTCTGAGTTCTATCGGTGAGCCATGATTTTATCCAATTTAAAACTTTACCCTCGATACCATGAGCCTTAACTTTTCTCAGAAATCTCTGATGCGGTACTCTGTCAAACGCTTTGGTAAAGTCTAAGTAAATAACATCGTAATTTCCATCATTATCTACTACCTCGAAGACTTTCCTAAAAAACGTCAGCAGATTTGATAGACAAGATTTTCTCTTTGTAAGCCCATGTTGAGAGTTTTAGATTAATTTGCTTTTCTCTAAATGCAATTGGATGCTAATTGCCATAATTGATTCAAGAAATTTCCCCAATAATAACGTCAAACTAATCGACCGGTAATTTGACGCTGATGCTCTGTCTCCCTTTTTGAATATGGGTACTACATTTGCCTGTTTCCACAAGTCTGGCACAATTCCCGTGTCTAGTGATTTTGTTAATAAATTTACGAGGGGTCCGGTAATCTGTTCCTTACACTCTTTCAAAACTCGAGGGAAAATTTTATCCGGCCCTGGAGATTTTGTCTTATTTAATTTAGTTATCTTCTTAAGAACATCCTCTTTTCTGATAGTGATATTCTTTAATTTCTCTTCTTCATTTCCCCTAAATATCAGTTCCACCTCTGGAATTTCCCCGTGAATTTTTTCTGTGAAAACTGATAAAAAGTAGCTGTTTATTGCTTTGCTTATTTCCGCACTGTCATCCATCACTTCCCCCCCTTCCTGGCTTTAAACGCCCAGTTTTGTCCTATATAACTGGAAAAATCTCTTGGGATTCGCCATGGATTCTCTCGCTATCCTGATTTCGTAGTCCTTCTTTGCCTTCCTTACATTTTTCTTAACATTCCTCGATAGTTCATTATACCTATTTCTGAGCTGCTTATAAATTCCTTCCTTTATTCCTATGTCATGTTTAAGTTTTCTGGTCATCCACCTTGGCTCATTCTTATTTCAGCTAATTTTTCTGTATGGTATATTTTGTTCTTGTGCTTTCCGTAGTATACGAGTGAACATATTATAGTCATGATCAATTGTTGTGTCACCTGTGACCTCACCCATTCCTACTGAGGACTGACCTGACTGTTCCCAGGTGACCTCACCTAGGTACCTTCTTAACCCCTGATAATCAGCCAATCAAAAGTTTGGGACTCTGACCTTATTGTCATTGTTTTTCGTTTCCCAATTTAGGGTGAACCTGGTTTCTCTGTGATCACTTTCCCTAGTTCTTCCCCTATTGTGAAATCTCTGATAATATTTTCTTTGTTTGTTAATACTAGGTCTAATATATTGTTACCTCTAGTAGGTTCTGTAATTAGTTGTTTCAAAAAATTGTCCTGTACTGCATCTAGGAAGTCTTCAGATTCATAGTCACCTACAATGTTGTCCCAATACTTGCGGGCCTGTAAATCACTCCAATAATTAGTTTTTCACTTCCTTCCGCAATTTCTACCCATAGAAATTCGGTTTCCAATTTCACCCTTTATTGAAGTATTAATACCACATTTTAATGTATCCATGACGAAGAGTGCGATCCCTCCCACCTTCCTACCTCCCCTGTCCTTGTGTAAAAGGTTGTACCTTTCTATGTGGCACTCTGATAAAAAGTTCTTGCTCGCCAGATTCATCCAAGTTTTGGTGATTGCTATGACGTCTACATTCTCGATACATACAACCGCTCTGAGCAAGTCTATTTTATTTCTAACGCTCCTACTGTTTGTATAGTATACATTTAAACCTACCCTTCCCTGGTCCTGTTTTACCCCTTGTCCTGAGTAACCAATTTTACTCACCAGGACCTGCTTGTTTTTTGACTCCCACTTGTTTTTTTACTCCTATTTACCCCGAACTCTCTCTTCTGGCGAAATCCTCCCTTTGGAGTGAAAATTTCACGCTCCAGTGATGCAGACAACGTCTTTACCCCCGTGCGAGACAAGTGTACTCCGTCACGACTGTACAGGTAGTCGTTGCCATAGAATTGTTGCCAGTTATCAATGAATGCCCAACCATTGTTTGCGCAATGTTTTTCTAGTCCGCAATTTATAGCATTTGCCCTGGACAGCCATTCACAACCAACTCCTCTTCTTGGCAAGTCACCACATACTATCGGGATCCCTCCCCTATCTCTAACCTTTCCCAGCGCCTCCCTATACACCTTGAAAAGTTCCTCATTCCTAACCTTTCCTATGTCGTTACCTCCCACACTAAGACACACTACTGGATCGGTACCCTCCCCTGACAAAACCCTATCTATCCTCTCAGCTATATGCCCTATCTCATCCCCAGGAAAACACACCCTAGTCCTACGTTTCCTATCTCTTGCACAAAAAGTGCTATCTAAAAACCTCACCTGGCTGTCCCCAACTACCACGACCTTACCATTGGGCAGGGTCTGAACAACTGCCCTTTTCACTCCTGGCACCACATCCTCCTGCCTCTTCTCTTCCTCGCCAGCTTCCTCCAGCACTTGGTAGGGGTTATTGCACTCCACACCCTGGTCAGCTTTCCTGAGTCTGACCCTAGTCCCCTTGGAAGCAACCACTCTTCACGCCTGTTCCTCCTTTGCAGATGTCCTGCTAGGCAGGACACCTACCTGAAGGAGTTCAGTCCTGAGGGCTTCTTTCTCCCCCTTTAACACGTCCATCTGTCTCCTCAACTGCTCCAGCTGACTTAATAGAGTAGCCAGGAGGTCGTCCTTCCTCACATTCCGCCCCTCTTCCCCCACAACACAACGATCCCCAACTATCACGGCGGCCATTTCCTCTGGTCACTCACACGAGCACGTCCTTCTCCAAGCTAGGTCAGGTAGCGTATGAGCTAGGTCAGGTAGCATATATAATAAATTCAAACCTATCGCTGTTGAATGACAGTAGTGCAACTCGATTAGACGATAGATGCTGTACCTTAACGGCTATATACTTATCCTTAGTCGATGGGGTTTATACCCTGACACAAGATGGGAAGTCTACGGCGAACTCTTGGGAAGTGACCGTTTCCCGATTTGTATTTCTTATGAAATCGGCTTGACGATAAGTCGATTTAATTTTAAAATGGCAGACTGGAGGTTATTCACGAGGGAAGTCGTAGTGAACTATCTCGACGCAGACAAAAACACTTCAAACATATTAAAGATACAATCATCAATGCGGCAACAAAATCTTTTCCGAAGATTTCTATAACTCGCGACAACCCTGGAGTTCCATAGTGGAATATAGATAGCCAACAAGCGATTCGTAAACGCACTAGAAGGTTCAGAATATTCAACGGAGCACCCAACCATATTAATCACGCAGAGTTTAAGAAGGCGAGGTCTCGAGCATGAAGAATCATGATGAGATCAGAAAACGATAAGCGACCACAAAGCGTTGTGGAAGTTTGGAAAATTACCATACGCGAGATTTTGCTGTAGGTTAGGTTAGGTTAGTTTTGATTGGGTTAGGTTAGGTTAGGTTAGTTAGTTTGGGTTGGGTTAGGTGAGGTAAGGGTAAAATCCAAGATGCAAAATATCGATTTTTGCTTATTTTGAAAACAACCACAACTCAGAAATGAAGTTCACACTCGGACAACGATTTTGACCGATCTATGTTCGATTGTGAACTAGATATTATTTTAGTTTCGGTCTTCTGGGAATCTAAGGAATTTGTCTATCGGAATCAGTAGTTTATACAATTCGAAGACATCTTTCTAAAATGAAGCCGCAGAGTTAGGAGGTCAGGTCAGGTCATTTGTGAGGGAAATGCCATAGAAGAAAAGTGTCTTAGAATTGTCCAAACTATTTAATGCAAAGATATTTTTGTATGATTCCCGTGTTGTTCGAAAGTAAAACTTTACCGTGTATTGTCACCTTACTGTAGAATATCAATAACGTCATAGGAATGCTGTTTTATATGTGGAGGGGATTCAGCGCTTGTAACTATGTTATAAATCCCCCTTGATTCTGCAGCCTTTTTCTCTTTGAAACATTTCGCCATAACAAAATTGTTCTATGGTGTCATTAATGTCAACTGACGCAATTGACGTCATCTGTATATATATATATATATATATATATATATATATATATATATATATATATATATATATATATATATATATATATATATATATATATATATATATATATATATATATATATATATATATATACTGTATATATATATATATATATATATATAATTTTTTTTTTTTCTTACTGGCGGATATCTTAAAAAAAGACCCAGTTTTTGAGACTTTCCCATTTTCGGATGGGTGCGGTCTTTTAGTATATCATTCTCCAGGACTTGTAATACTATAAACCATTAAAAAACACTTTGTTGCAATTTCTTGGGGGTTGGGCTCTTTTTTTATTGTAGAATGACTAGCCTAAATTTAATGAAGCCACCGGTCATTCAACAAAGCAAAATTTAACACCCAAAAATATTTTTAATAACTTTTACAATATACACCAAGCTTTTTAATATACATTTTTACCTAATTTAAATTTGTTTGTTCCCAACACGGAAACAACGTTCAGACAATGGTGATAAATGCTGGAATACTGTGGTGTGTCTTAACAGCTGCTGTGACTGATGTTGGTACTGCCCAGCTGTTTCTCCCTTCAGGTCAGTTCAGAGTACAGAAAATATCTGTTTTATTCGTTAAGGTCGTAACTTTCCTGGCATAAATGGTTGTCTTTTCTATGGCTAGTAGAATGGGAATTAAACAATGCACATTAAATGTTGCAGGGAAATAGGTTATTCAGTAAAATTTTTACCTTTTTTTTAATATATAAGCCATTATTTAGCCACAACAGGACGATGGCTGTCAACCACACTAAGTTAAAATTCAAGACACTGAATTGATATGTTATTGGAGTGTTTTGTATTATTTATTTATTTATGAACATTGCATATCTACAGTTGCTGCGACAAAATACTCTACAACTCTTTCAATGAAATTTCATATTGATGTATAATACGCATACATGGTGTACTAAAAGTTTATCTAACACAGTAGGGCGTAAGGTAGTAGTAGGCCTGAGCCAAGCAGTGACAGCTGTACTCAACGCCACGACAGAGACCAACTGCTCCTCCATCCTGTTCACTGATGGTGTCACCTATCACACCACTATATACGAGGTGGGGTGTGTATCTTGTATCGCTGGAGAGTTTGTGCAAAAAGTGAAAAGTAAATGTAATATAGAGTATATACTATCCACTTCTTACGGAACAGATGTGGAGTCAGCTGGTGGCCCCCTGGGGTGTGGCGGTGTTCGAGGTGGCAGTGGACGGTCAGGACGCTAACGTAACACAGGCGCAGCTCTCCCGGGCGGTCGACGAGGCTCGGCAGGTAGGTCACTCTCACATTACTATTGGGGCGAGTAGGTCGCTCACATTACTACTGAGATGAGGTCACTATCACATTACAACTAAGGCGGGTAGGTCACTCACATTACTACTGAGGCGGGTAAGTCACTCTTATTTTACAGTACTACTGAGGTGGGTAGGTCACTCATATTACTACTGAGGCGGGTAGGTCACTCTCACATTACTACTGAGGCAGGTAGGTCACTTTTACAGAACTACGGAGGCAGGTAGTTCACCTTCATATTTCTAATGAGGCGGGTAGTTCACTCTTACATTACTACTGAGGCGGGTAGTTCACTTTCACATTACTACTGAGGCGGGTAGTTCTGGTCTAGGCCATTTAACTGCTGAGTCTGTCTAGGTTAATGCGACTTGGAACATTTATATTATAGAGGGTTTTGGTAACGAAACCCAATTGTCTGTTATCCTTTTATTTAGGAACTATCGAGGCTACAGTTCCAAAATGTAGATCACCGTAACTTATCACTGTAACTAGGAATGTTAAGAGAAGGACGGACGCTATATAAAATAGACCTTCTAAATACGTCTGATCTGTGTGAGGCGTTGAGTAACAATGCCACAGGGCGCCGGCCTTTTAAATGCTGAGCTAAACAGTCACTGGGCAACGCCTCAAGGAACCTGCCAATCACGTGATATGATCATGTCACCTCATAGCCAGTGGAAAGTTACAAGGGGTGATATGATTATGTAAAGACAATGTATTGCCCTGACATTTATATGAAGACTAAAAGGGGCTGATAAAGTTCAACTTCATATTCCTACTGAGGCGGGTAGATCACTCATACATTACTACTGAGGCGGGTAGATCACTCATACATTACTACTGGGGCGAGTAGGTTACTCTTACATTTTTTTTTTTTTTTTTTAACGTGGCCTCCAGCCTCCCCCAATAGCCACACCTTCGCCACCATTTATTTACCTTAATATTAAATATCCTAATACATAAGAAGCTATCCTATCTGTGTTAAATTAGTTGAGCCGCAGATCTATGCGGCATTCAGTGACTGTAGCCTCGTAGTCGATATCTGCAGCAGTTGTCGAAGTAGGGGCAGAAGCTTTCGTTCCCCTGAGGCAGAGCAAAGCCGACCGAAGGAGAGAGAAAGACAGTCGACATCTCATCCAGGCTGTAACATAACTTCTGGGCTGCTGCTTCTGTTCGGAGATCAACTCCGCGAGTCTGGCGTAGAAACATCTTGCACTTGGGCCCTTCCCACCAGAGGTTGTGAACACTAGAGGAGTGAAGCTGCCTTGATCAACGTTTTTAATTCTCTCCCCATATGCCCTTCTCTTGTCGTTCTCATTCCTCCTATGTGCAGCATCGAGAGCTAGGTTATGGTGACATGCGGCCATGGGATCAAAAATCCTGATGTCGAAGAAAGCTCACTGTCCCCGCGTCCAGAAACCTCGAGCACTGACGTCCACACGGGCTTCGTTAGATGTGTTTGAAGTCCTGTGTTGGAAGATCTCGCCATCCAATGGAAGGAGGGTCGGTTCTACCATGACGTCCCGGCAGATTTCCTTCAACATATTTGCTGTGAGATCCCTTACCTCGTCATGCCTCATGCATATGAAGCCCCCCTTCTTGCAGACCATGGCGTGATCGACGTCATAGGAAGAGCCACACACGCATTGGGAGGGCAAACCTTCTACTGGCCAACCGTACCTTAGAGCAATGGCATCTGTAAATTCTTGTTTATTAAGACTGAAACCATTTGCCCTTATCGGTAACGTAGTTAACCAGTTCGAGGCGCCCACCTCCTGCGCTATGGCTACCTTTTTTTTCAAATTTTCTGGTACCTGCAGCAATAGTTGCTGCAACATATCATTTTGGCAGTGCTGTCGATCTGTCGTAATGGACCTACGAATCTTATTTACTTCGCTGGTATTCACTTCCCCTGTTGCATTCTGAGTTATTATGTGGTCCGTGAGGGCTGCCGTGAGCTTAAGTGAATTTTGATGTTCAGTGTCAGCAATCTCCTCTGGATTAGTTAGTCCCATCCCTCCCAGTCTTGGTGGAAGTGCAAGAAGTGTTCTTTCTGCTGGGGTTAAGTCAGGGTGTTTCACTAGTTTGGGAATGAACTTGACTCTTACATTACTACTGAGGCGGGTAGGTCACTTTAACATTACTACTGGGGCGGGTAGGACACTCTTACATTACTACTGAGGCGGGTAGGTCACTTTAACATTACTACTGGGGCAGGTAGGTCACTCTTACATTACCACTGAGGCGGGTAGGTCACTTTTACATTACTACTGAGGCGGGTAGGTCACTCTTACATTACTACTGAGGCGGGTAGGTCACTTTAACATTACTACTGGGGCAGGTAGGTCACTTTTACATTACTACTGAGGCGGGTAGGTCACTCTTACATTACTACTGAGGCGGGTAGGTCACTTTTACATTACTACTGAGGCGGGTATCAGTTTCACATTACTACTGAGGCAGGTAGGTCACTCTTACATAAGAACATAAGAACATAAGAATGGAGGAAACTGCAGCGGGCCTATTGGCCCATACTGGGCAGTCCCGTTTACACCCAACCCCTATTGCTCATATGAGCATCCAACCTATGTTTGAAGCAATTCAGCGTATTCGAGTTAATGATGATATTTGGTAACTTGTTCCATTCATCCACTACTCTGTTTCCAAACCAGTGTTTACCTATTTCACGCCTGAATCTAAATTTGTCTAATTTAAAACCATTGTTACGAGTTCGCTCCTGGTTGGATAATTTGAGTACCTTTGTAATGTCCCCTTTGTTTAGCCCTGTCTTCCACTTATACACCTCTATCAGGTCGCCCCTCACTCTACGTCTCTCGAGGGAGTGCAAATTAAGATGCTTTAACCTGTCTCTATACTCAAGGTTCCTAATGCCCGGGATTAGTCTTGTCATTCTCCTCTGAATTCTTTCCAAGGATTCTATATCCATTCTGTAATACGATGACCAGAACTGAACTGCGTAATCCAAGTGTGGTCTCACAAGAGCAAGATACAGTTTAAGGATGACCTCGCTAGTCTTGTAACTAACACTCCTTTGTATGAACCCAAGTACTTTATTAGCCTTGTTACGAGCAAAAACACATTGTTTACTTAGCTTAAGGTTCCTACTTATCATTACTCCTAAATCTCTCTCGCAGTCGGATTTCTCTATGGCATCGTTGTTCATCTGGTATCTGGTTTCCCTGTTTACATCTCCTATACTGAGTACTTTACATTTGTCCACATTGAATTTCATCTGCCATTTTTCAGACCATTCGAAAAATTTGTTTAGATCTTCCTGTAGTTTTGCCGAGTCCTCGTCAGATTTGATAACACGTCCTATTTTAGTGTCATCAGCAAATTTACTTATGTTGCTGTCTATGCCGATATCTATGTCGTTTATGTATATAATAAATAATAATGGTCCAAGTACTGAGCCTTGGGGAACTCCACTTGTGACGTTGCTCCAATGGGACTTAGTGCCGTTAATGCTCACTCGCTGTTTCCTGTCCTGTAACCACGCCCTAATCCATTTAAGGATGTCACCTTTGATGCCATGTGCTTCTACCTTTCTAATTAGTCTTTCGTGGGGACTCTGTCGAAGGCTTTGCTAAAGTCGAGATATACCACATCATAATTGTGCCCCTCGTCCACCGATTCGAAAACTGATGAAAAGAATGTTAATAGATTAGTTAGACAAGAACGTCCGCTTGTGAAGCCATGCTGGGAATCATTGATCAATCGGTGCTTCTCCAGGTGATTTTGAATAGAGTTTGAAATGATTGCTTCCAGTAATTTGCCTACTATTGATGTTAGACTGATTGGGCGGTAGTTAGAGGATAGTGATCTATCCCCCCTTCTTGAAAATCGGTATTACATTCGCTATCCTCCAGGATTCTGGTACTACACCTGTTTTAAAGGACATGTTAAACAACTTTGCTAAGGGCATACTAAGCTCTTCCTTACATTCCTTTAATACTCTGGCAAATATCTCATCGGGACCAGGTGACTTATTAGGCTTTAGTTTGTCTATTTGCTTACTAACATCGTTACTAGTCACTACTATCTCACTTAATTTGTTTTCTTCACTATCTCTGAATAGAGTCGGTGCCTCGGGTATCATGTTTAGATTTTCGGTGGTGAAAACTGTTGAAAAATATTTATTCAAATTATTGCTCATTTCTCCGTCGTTATCAGTGAGCTCGCCGGAGTCTGACCGTATTGGTCCAATCTTTTCTCGTGTTTTAGTTTGATACATTTGATAGAATCCTTTGGGGTTTGTCTTTGCCTCCCTTGCTATCCTTACCTCATTATTCCTCTTTGCTTTCCTTATCTCGGTTTTAACTCTACTCGCCAATGCCCTATAATAGTCCCGGAGGTGAATTTCGCCACGATTTATCCTTCTACCTATAGCCTTCCTTTGGCCAAAGATGTTCTTTAAATAATTATTTATCCATTTAGGGTCATTGTTGTCTGATCTGAGTTTTTTGTATGGTATGTTCTGCCTTTGTGCTTTAAGTAACTCACTATTTAATTTATCGTGGAACTCGGCAATCTCAGATCTCGTTATCAGGTCGGTGTCATCTGTCAGGTTCACGGCCAAGCGCGACACCCCCTCTCTCAGCTGCCTCTTTAAACTATCAAAGTTTGCCCTTCTGAAATCTGGTACTTTATTGGAATTTTCCTTACGTCTGCCCTAAAAATCTAACTGGAATCGAATTTCTTTGTGATCGCTGTTTGCAAGTTCGTTCCCTACCTCGACATTGGTAATGAGGTTTTCTCTGTTCGTCAGAACTAAATCCAGTATATTATTACCCCGTGTGGGTTCGGTTATATGTTGACTTAGGAAACAGTCCTGGATCGTCTCGAGAAAATCCTCTGATTCTGAGTTACCCGTAAGGACAGTCCAATCTATTTGGCCAAGGTTAAAGTCGCCTACTATACAGACTTTGTTGTGTATGGAAGCCCTGCGCATTTCATCC